ACTGTCAGGGTTACAGTCTGTCTGAAGAGAGGGTATAGAGGGACTGCTTCTGCTTCTGTGCACCTGAGAGGACTCTTCTAGCTGACAGACCAAGCTTTGCTTGTTGTGGAAACCTATTTATATAACATTTACCGCTTAGGGAAATGGAGAGACCTGATGGATTGTCCTTGGGCTAGGGTGGGTGTGTGTGTGTTTGTCTGTCAGACTTTTAATTTTACTCGCTTCATAAATTATTTTGTGGAGTAGAAATAGAGTAAAACAGTAATTTATTTGTTGATATATAACGTCATTCTGGATTTTTTTTCCTCTCTTTTAAAACAAGGAATATGTTTTGGCTCATACTGAAATGCCCACCACCCTGGAAGGAGCTGAAGCAGCCATTAAAAAGCAGGAGGACTTCATGACCACCATGGATGCCAACGAGGAGAAGATCAATGCTGTTGTGGAGACTGGCCGAAGACTTGTGAGCGACGGGAACATCAACTCCGACCGCATCCAGGAGAAGGTGGACTCTATTGATGACAGGTACAGCGTTTTGAATGTTGCAATTGAAATCCTATACCCTGGGACTGTTAAACTTCCAGCCATTAACCCAGAGTCCTCCGTAAGCTGCACTCTTGCAGAGTTGTCATGGTGACTCACCTGAGGGGACCTTGAAAGCCAGAGTTTTCCTAGGCCAGACCGTATTCTCCTTCATCCATGTGACACTCGTCAGGCACCTGTAGGAGAAAGGAAAGGAGGAAGGTGAGACTTGGCTTGTCCTGAGCACTGAAGAAAGCTGTGAAGAAACAGCATCTGCCCTTTGTTAGAAAACGGGCATAACTGATGGCTGTCGTAGTCTCCTCCTGCACGCCTCACGATGGTGGCATGGCTGATGCTGTCATTGGCTCCACCTGCACACCTACCATGATGGCATGGCTGATGCTGTCATAGGCTCCACCTGCACACCCCACAATGGTAGCATGGCTGATGCTGTTATAGGCTTACCCCACGATGATAGAAAAAGACATTTCCTCCTAGTCTAGGGCATTCTCCAAGATTGGATAGTTGGGCATCATCTCTTCTTCCTCCTCTCTCCTAAAAGCTTGTCTCCCTAGTTTTTAAAAGTGTGTATTGCATATTCTGTATCTGAGTCCTGCCCTGTACTGGCTAAAGTGAGATGCCTGAGCTGCACTAATGAGTCAGTTGTGAGCTGGTCATGTAGACAGCCATTAGCCTCTGTTGTAACCGTTCCCTTTTGCCTGCAGTCTGGATTGATTTAAGATCTTCTTTTGAGACTGATATCAGGGCTCTTCATCTGTCTTTATGCAGTTCAAAAGAGCTGCTTATTGCCACAGTCTGTTGCTTTCCACATCTCAAAGGGTCTCCTGGGAATCCGTCTTAAAATAAGACAGGTTACAGAGAGGAGTTGCCTGCCTTCTCAGATTTAGCAGTTCCAAGTTTCTTGCACTTAAGTTGGAGCTTGTGTATGTTCTAAGGGTAAGATACAATGTAACTTTTACTATAATTTTGTGTGTGTTGCTTTTAAAAACAAAAATTCTATCAAAATCTTAAGTGAATGTGAGAACCTCCGGCTCCTAATATTTAAGAACAAAAAGAATTCTTCTTTTCTAATGTCAAGTCTTGTTTTGTGAGTGTAGTATGCCTTGTTCCTCCACATGAGCTGTGGGTTCTGGTTCCCCTAAGGCAGAAGTGGCACTTAGAGGAGTGCATTTGGACAGATACACCACTGGCTTGCTACCTCCTGGGATTACGTATGTGTTCTACTGCTACAGCTGTATGGGGCTGTTGGAAGCTGGTGGCTCTGGAGACAGGTGGCTGCTGGACTTCAGGGCTTCCTTAGGATATCTTAGGGTTGTTTTTGTTTTTCAGGAAAGCATTTCCCTGTTTTTTGGGTTTTTTTGTTGTTGTTGTTGTTGTTATCCTGGAACTCGCTCTGTAGATGGGCCTCAAACTCGGAGATCTGCCTGCCTCTGCCTCCGAGTGCTAAGATTATCTCCGAGTCTACAGAACAAGTTCCGAGATAGCCAGGACTACACAGAGAAACCCTGTGTGGGGAAGGAGGCATGTAATACCACACCCAGCTAGGATTTCTCAGGTTTAAAAATGAAGTAGAAAGAACATTTTTTACTATTGCTAAAAAACAAAAAAATAGGAGGAGAGGGATCCTGTGTTGACTCTGCATCCATCTGTTTTCTTAACAGCTGACATAAACTGGATTCTAGTATCCCTTTATCCTGAAGCTAAAGGATTTATGTGGACAGATCTGGGAGTTCCAGGGTCTGTAGAGACGCAGGATACATGAATATCTAAAGCTTCAGGTCTATTTTCTTGCACAAAGGCACTTCCACAAAGACTTCTTGTGAAATGTAAATTAGAGTATGTGCGTGCTGAGAAAATGTGGGTGCAAGTGACATCAGAGCCCCAAAGCTTCCTTGAGAGTCTGAAAATGTGAAGGAGCCTCCTGCCCAGACACAGTACAGCATGGACCTCTATCCGACTTGATAGAAAAATCCCTCTGTTCTAGTCAGGGTCTCAATCACTGTGATAAAATAACGTGACCAAAAGCAACTTGGGGAGGAAATGGTTTCCTTTCAGCTTACAGCTTGTTGTCCATCTCCAGAGAAGTTGGGACAAGGAGTTAAAGCAGGAACTGGAGCTAAGCCGTAGAGGAGTGTTCCTTACTAATTTGCTCCTCTTGGCTTCTCAGTCTGCTTTCCTGTAGCACCCAGGAACACCAGCCCAGGGGTGTCACTGCCCATACTGAGCTGGTAGACCCTCCCACATCACATCAGTCATCAATCAAGAATGTGTGCCACAAGCTTGCCCACAAGTCAGTCTGATAGGGCGTTTATCTCAATTAATGTTATCTCTTTCCAAAGGACTTAGCAGCCTGTGTTAAGTTAACATAAAAACTAGCCAGCCCACTTGACACCCTTTGAACGTGACACACAAACACATCACTTGTTAAGCCATACCCTCTCTTTCTTGTGGTCTTTAAAATGCCATGCTAATGTTAACATGACAGTATAAAACAGTATTACATCAAAAGTCCCACAGTCTTTAAAAATTCAAATAGTATTGAGATTACAGCGTGCACCACCTTGCCATTTTGTGTTGCTAAGGAGTAAATGGGATGTCTTGCATACTAGGTAGGCAGCAGCTGGCCTACACCTCCAGCCTGTATTCTTGATCTTTAACCCTGTCTTCCACTTTAGCCCTCCACGTCACATGCTCAGTGTAGCCAGGCTTTCTTGCAATGGTTGTGTTTGTGCAGACTTGTTGGTGTTTACCCCCGAGCAGCAGCCCTCATGTTGGTAGCCCTTTGCTGGGCTTCACTCTGCTGGTCCAGATTCTGGAGACTTGAGCTGCCCTGTCAAGAGCAGAACTGAGTAAGCATGTGACCCCATAGGTCTGAACTTTCTCATTCATGGTGTTTGGTGTGATGACTTCCCAAGATAGGAACTTATCAGAAAATACTTAAAGATAGTCAAGCTGGGTGTGGTAGTACATACTTTTAATTCTAGCACTCAGAAGACAGAGACAGGCCTTTGTTAGTTTAATGCCAGCCTGGTCTTAAAAAAAAAAAAAAAGAAAAGAAAACTGCATGATTTATTTTTATTGTTTATTTATTTCAGTATTATTAACTAATAGGCCACCTCTCTGGCCCAAGAATTATATATTATGTATATTTTTTTAACCTTGCTTGAGTTTCTAGAGAAATAAGTTTCAGATTCTTTCACATTCTCAGTAACAGGGTCTTGTGCACAGTGCACACACTCAGATCTTCTCTTCTAGAATTAGATTCATTTAAATGTATGCAGCGACTGTAATTATCCTGTTGTATGTTTGACAGGCATTTAGGTCTTCCTTGCACCTACTGTGGCTTACCCATTTGTAGGATGCTAAAATGTCTCCTGCCTCTGTCAAATACTTACGGACTGTAAGCAAACACTTCTCAGTACACACAGAAACCCAGGGAAGAAATCAACTTGTAACTCTACACCTAATTATTTTTTTAAATTATTTAATTCTTTTGACAGACACAGGAAGAATCGAGAAGCAGCCAGTGAACTTTTGATGAGGTTAAAGGATAACCGTGATCTACAGAAATTCCTGCAAGATTGTCAAGAGGTAAGTTCCTCTTCAGTCCTCCCCTGTGGCTTCCCATAGTAGCCAGCCTGCAGTGGAGAAAAGTAATTGAATTGTGAAATCAGAGAAGCTTGTAGTCTTAGGTATCTGTGGTTATGGGATAGGGCACCACATGGTCCATTGTGGAGTAGGGCTATACTTAAATTAGCTACATGTGGTTGTTTCATTTTAAGTTAAAATTCAGAACATACTTCTCGAAAACAACTGCTGGCTACCATGTTGGGCACACACAGACAGACTTTCCATCATTTCAAAGAACTCTACTGAGCAGTGACATCCAGAAATACCCTGAAAAGCATTTAACTCTTTGAAATAAGGCACATTTAAACACCGTGGAAGGAAACAACTTACTAAATACTGAAACTGTCTCTGTATATTAAAACCAGAGATAAAGATGCTGGTGGTAAGAGCACTGGCTTGCTCTTCAGAGGATTCAGGTTCAGCTACACTCACAGCTGCCTGAAATTCCAGTTGCAGGGGAAGATGACCCCTTCCTTGATTTCTGCATGCGCTGCCAGCACATGCTACATAGCTGTACATGTAGAGAAAACACTTATAAACATATAATGAAAGTAGATGAATCTTTTTAGAAAAACAGAAAACTTAAAACTATGATTCTTCTGAAGACCTTAAAAAAAAAAGTCTAGGCCAAGTGGGATTCTGCATGTCAAAGACCAAGTCTTAACATTCACTATTAATCTCATGATTCCCCGTCTGATAAATGCATGTACAAACTTTGAAAACTAAAGTTAACCAGGAAAATGTAGTCCCTCTGCACGCTAGCTGGGGAAAAGCATGTAGCAAACTCCATATGTGTGAATTTATGAACACACATTTCCCCGTCTGCCAGGGAACTACAGTGGAACTCAGCCCTCTATAGTTTATTAGAATAAATTCCCTTAGACCCCCAAAATGGGATAAGGAACATCCACAAGAGATACCGTCTGCAGAGACTGAGTGTGTTCTGACCTGACCTCTGTGATGCCCAAAATAATCACCTTTAGATCTGCAGTGTTGTGCTGTACTTCATGATCTTTTATCTGTAGGATGATATGTTGAGCAAAGAGCATATTGGTTTATAAGTATAATTTTTTATGTAGTGCTTTCTCCTTTGTTTAAAAAAAAAAAAGTCTTATCTGTGTGTTATGAATAGTGAAAATATGTGTATGTCCCTGACACTTTCGGTCAACAAATATATTCTATTTTAGGAGACCTCTCTGTGCACTATACAGAGAGATTTTTATCATTTGGTTTTCTTTTTCATCTCTTTTCTTAGATTGGACAACAGCCTTAGTATGTCACATTTTAGCCACTTGGATTGCTGGGAAATAGTTAAATTCTTTTAAAGTGGAAAATATACTATTTTTATTTTTATTTTTTGACCAATCAATGGACTTCCATTACAAAGGATTTGCTTTGAACTTTGCCCCTGCTGGTTCTCCTTCATGATGAATAGCACAAGAAAGATGGAGCTAGTACCTAGAGTTTTTATCCAGTCTTGAAGTCAGCAGTTCTCTTGTGACCTGCTTTGCCCTCCTTGACACTTTATAAAGAACAGACCCATTGCTGTTGAAGCAAATATATGGGGAAGCCTGTCCTAGCAGGTCCAGGGTATTAACAAAAAGCTTTGGAAGCACAGATACTATGAAGGCTTCTTTGGTCTCCTGTGCCATTGTAGACTTTGAGATGTGAAACCATGAAGATATTCAGGTGCAGATTCACAGTGAGCAGCAGCGACAGTAAGTTCACTGTCAGCCACCCAAGTGAGGTTAGATGGTCCCTAAAGACACTTGTAATCAAACTGTGTGTGACTCTATTGTATATCTCTGGCCTGACCACTTGCAGGCTAGCAGGAACAAGCAGGGGCTGACTTGGGTTAAAAGCCTGAAAGAGATATGGTTTGGCCAACTCCCATTTCCGGCCTCTTATAATTCACTTTAGTCTGTGTGGCTTTCAAGAATTCATTTTCTAGTATATATGGTTTGTCTCAGGGTCAAGTGCTGTGAAGTATTCTTAGTCTGAATGGAAGGTTCCTTAGAGGGCTAGAGGCTACAGAAAAACAGGTGAAGGTGATTTAGAATCTACAGCGATGAAGAATGAGTGGTAGTGTTGCACTAACTCCACGATGAACAAGTTATGTTCTTTGACATTCCCACACATCACCCAGTAGATAAATGAATGGGTTTGTGTGTTTGGTTCTTGGTTTTTTGAGACAGGGTTTCTCTGTGTAGCCCTGGCTGTTCTGGAACTCACTCTGTAGCCCAAGGAGGCCTCAAATTCAAGGAGATCCACCTGCCTTTGCCTTCCGAGCACTGAAACTAGAAGCATGCATCACCACTACTGTGCAGGTTGTTTTAAAAAGTATAGTTGCCAGATGAATTAAATGACAGTCATGGTTAGCTTACTATAACTGTCACAGATATCTGGGAAGGAAACAGCTTGTGTTTTCAACTAGTTAGAGCAAAACTACAAACACAGGCATTTTAGGGAAAGCTGGTCAAGAGTGCTGTTGAGTTTAAAAGCCGCTTGGGAGTTTTTATTTTTCTGGGTTTAATGTTAGGTCCACCATTTGTATCAAACTTGGCTACCAGATGGGTCAGAGATGCAAAGCAAAATATTTGCCTGTCTGTTGATATGGAAACTGTAACATATCACAAATGTAATCCTTTTTGGGTAGGAGTAGAAAGTTAAGTCTGTGATGATGGCTTCTAAAATCTTCTTACTGTTCTACCCTAGCTGTCCCTCTGGATCAATGAAAAGATGCTCACAGCTCAGGACATGTCCTATGATGAAGCCAGAAACCTGCATAGCAAATGGTTAAAGCATCAAGCATTTATGGCAGAACTTGCATCCAACAAAGAATGGCTTGACAAAATTGAGAAGGTAGGTCAAACTATTTGGTGAGACCTTTCCCTCACCCTCCTTTCCACATTGTGACCTTGGTAAGGAGGAAGACATAAAAACTTAGAGAAGAGGGAGGAGAGGAAATGAATTCCTTTTCTTTTTGTTTTTTAAATTTTTATTGGATATTTTATTTAAGCACTCACCTTGGTCTTCCTTCTTCTTGAGCTTCATGTGGTCTGTGAGTTGTATCTTGAATATTCTGAGATTTGGGGCTTATATCCAATTATCAGTGAGTGCATACCATGTGTGTTCTTTTGTGACTGGGTTGCCTCGCTCAGAATGAGATTTTCTAGTTCCATCCATTTGCCTGCTAATTTTCAAGTTACTGTTTTACAGGAGCCTGATATAGCTGTCTCCTGAGAGGCTCTGCCAGAGTATGACAAATACAGAGGCAGATGCTCACAGCCAACCATAGGACTGAGCACGGGGTCTCCAGTGGAGGAGTTAGAGAAAGGACTGAATTCCTTTTCCTTGAGGGTAGAGTCCTATGTCATCATTTACAAAAGTTACACAGCCAGTAGCAATCCCCTGCTTCCACTTACAGTTTCTGATGTCTGTCCCACAGTGGGCAGAAAGCAGACACCCAGACATGTGGCTTGGTTTTTCTTTTAGTGACTACCAGGTGATCAGTCACTACGGGTGGACCATGCCCCTCCCTTCCTCATGGCCACGGCCATAAACCTGTGTTGTTCTATGGGTAGCTTTATCAGATAGGATTACATAAATTTTAAAATGCTGTATGTTTTAATTGTTGTGTCAGGGTCGGGGGTAGTATATAACTAATGTATACCAGGCACTAACTATCGCTGTCCACTCCGACCCGCGGAAAGAAACGGCGACACACGGAGTTCTTCTTCCCAATGCAGTTTATTCAGGAACCCTTACATTCTTCAAAAAGCCCCCAGCCTCTCCTCCACCGCCCTTAAATCCCTCTGCCTTCTCCAATCAGAGCCTGCCATGTTGGTGCATGTGATAGGACAGTGGGTATGGTAAGATCTGACGCTGCCCTACGTAGCAGATGGCCTGATTATGCATAGCAGTGATCCTGCGCAATATTGCCTGTGGGCGTGGCTTCTTCAGGAAGTCAGGTGTTAGCCTCAGGTGCCATTTTGGAATGGCTGCCACACCCGCTTCCTACAGTTCCCCCTTTTATTTAATTTTGGCAGAGAGTATGCCTGTCTTAGGTTGTCCCTTGTGACACTGCTCCTTACCTATCATCGGGAGTCAAACAGCTCTGGTTTGGTCCCTGTCTTAGGTTGGTAACACGTCCAAGGAGTCTTACCCGTCTCTGACTACTTCTCTAGCATGCCGAGCCACACTTGAGGAGATTGTCCTATCTCCACGGCTGCAAACGCCTGCACTATCAAGGCCCGTTCTCTGCTGTGTTGCTTTCTCCTTTTGCACATACACCAACAGGCAAGGCCATTGATCAGTAATAGGCACAGGGCTAAAACTCCCAAACCCGCCCATTCCTTAAGGTGGGACATTGCTTGATGTATCCATTCAGTCAGTCCGGAGGCCAGGGAGACATCCACTCTAATTGAATTAATATGAACAATCGACTTGAGAAGTTCTCTCATCTTCTTACCCAATTCCACAGACCAATTTCCTGAAAGATACTTGGAAATTTCCTTAGAAAGATTAGCAGCAAGACTTACAGTTTGATATGAAATAGAAGTAACACACAAGCCAGAATATTTCCATTGGCAACCTAATTGGGTCATCTCTATGTCAAAATCCCTCCTTGGCCCAAATAATGTCATAGCTGAAGGAGCTTCCACAGGCCAAGGAACATAACGAGGCATTTGGGCAACCATAGCAAAGGAAAATATAGAAACATTCCAACATACAGCATAAAAGCAAGTACTATTATCACAACTCAAAAAACTACCATTATAACTACCATTATATACAAAAAACACAAAGGGGGGCCACATGCATACCGGCGTGGGTAAAAAGGAAACATCTTGTCCTGGGCTTAATAACTTTAGGTTGCAATATATGGAGAAAAGGTAAAAGCATTCTTCATAGCCCAAGTGACTCACTCATCTTGTCTATAGGATCTCAAGATCTATGTGCCGAACTTCAGGATTTTGTTTCTTTAACTCTTTCTCAAGTCTGTCTACTTCATCTCTAGAGTATTAATAATGTTTTCTCCATGTTTAAGCGTAAAGGCTTCTAATTGTTCAGGAGTTTTCACTTCTTGAATTTCCTGCATCATTTGGTCAAAATCTTGCTTTTCCAAATATGATCTTGTAACAACTCGTTCATCTAAATCAACTTCTGCCTTAAATCTGACTTTGCCTAATCTCAGGTCTGTGGCTTTGACATTATGGATTGCCCTTACTGATGGGTCGCTCGCTCTCCAGGAGTGTACTCGGATCACGACTTTCTATGACATACTTGTAAAATGTTGTGCCCTTGGCCTGGGTGCTCCTACAAAGTTCATTTATGGCAACAAGAAGTGTTGCTCCATCAAACACCAAAGATCCTGCTAAAATATAATATGCCCATAGAAGGGATTCCATTGGTTGAGGATGAAGCAATCCCATGACTCCATGATACCAAGAGAGTCCTGCACCCATCATGAAAATACCAATACCACTAATCAATGAAGAAATATAGTGCATATTTGAAAAGCCATAGGGGTGAGAAGAATCTGGTGTCTGAACAGACTTGCTGATGTCTGGTGCTAGCAAACCCTGGTTACAAGTATCAGATAATGTGTGTATAGCTTCTGAGAACATACTTGCTGAACCCAATCTAGGCAAGAAATTTAAAGAAGCAGTTTAAGCCATTAATACAAATAGCAGCCATCACCACTTTTCCTGGTTCCTTAAGAAACATTTGGAAACATTGAGCTCTAAGCTCCTTCCAAGCTTCTGGGCGCCACTTTGTAACGGCAGTTTCTTTTGTAATGGCCGTCAGGTTCTGTTACTTTGTAATCTTTTGTAACGGCAGTCAGATTCTGTTACTTTGTAAAGGTGGGGGCTGGTTCTGCTGCTCCGGTCTGCAGGTCAGGGTCTAGCAAGAAAGAGAAACTGGGGATGAAGGGGAAGAAAAAAGGGGCAAGAGACGCAGAAGATAGATACAAGACAGAGTCCAGTGGAGTCTCTTCAAGTCTCTTCTTTATTCTCCTCACTCTTTCACTCTTATATTCCTCACTTCCCTCTTCAGAACTATCTCCATTTTCAGACTTTTGCGATCACTCTTCTTTTAACTGCACTAGTGTATTGCTACCCTTTTCTAGCTCCTTGATGCGACTTGTCCCAACGCTGGGAACCTTATAGTCTCTGAACCGAGAACTTTCCCTTGTCCCACTTACCTGGGAACTTTCTCTTGTCCCACTTACCTGGGAAATTTCCAACTAGCTGCCCTGACTGCGATGAGTTCTGAAGTCCCCTTAAGGGCCACCACTTGTCTCTGTCCACTCCAACCCGCGGAAAGAAACAGCGACACACGGAGTTCTTCTTCCCAATGCAGTTTATTCAGGAACCCTTACATTCTTCAAAAAGCCCCTGAGCCTCTCCTCCACCGCCCTAAAATCCTTCTGCCTTCTCCAGTCAGAGCCTGCCATGTTGGTGCATGTGATAGGACAGTGGGTATGGCAAGATCTGACGCTGCCCTACGTAGCAGATGGCCTGATTATGCATAGCAGTGATCCTGCGCAATATTGCCTGTGGGCGTGGCTTCTTCAGGGGCCTATGAGAAAGTCAGGTGTTAGCCTCAGGCGCCATTTTGGAATGGCTGCCACACCCACTTCCTACAACTAGCTATGTTAATCCTTGCAGTGCGTATTCACATATCTGTGCAGTGTGTGTTTCTTACGCTCCTGTCCCTTCACTGTCAGACTCCTAAGAATTAAAATTGTGTTACATATGGCCTTTATAGCGTGAAGTTGTAAGTTATTAACAGTAAATTGCCCCAGATGAAATTGTTAGAGCATGCAACACTTAATTGCTTACATCGCCCGAAAGGGTAGCATGTGTACACAGGACCACTGTTTATTTCCCTGAGCGGTAACTTCCTGGGTGAATGTAGGGAGTGGGGATGCGAGTGGGTCAATCACAGATCAAATGTCTCAGAGTTTGAGGTTTGTTTTTTCACAGTGACATTTATTTTCTTGCAAACTATTTATTTTTAACCTCATTGGTTTGTGTTCTCCAGGAAGGAATGCAGCTTATTTCAGAAAAGCCAGAAACAGAAGCCGTGGTGAAGGAGAAACTCACTGGTTTACATAAAATGTGGGAAGTCCTGGAGTCCACAACGCAGACCAAGGCCCAGCGGCTCTTTGATGCAAACAAGGCGGAACTTTTCACACAGAGCTGTGCAGATCTTGACAAATGGCTGCACGGCCTGGAGAGCCAGATTCAGTCTGACGACTATGGCAAGGACCTTACCAGCGTCAACATTCTGCTGAAAAAGCAACAGGCAAGTGGGCAAGACAGTATTCTATCTGGGCTCTGCCACTTCATGGCTTTCCTCTTCCTCCTTACAGATCAAGAGTCTTTGCCTTTCCTCTTCCATGGGAAGGGATTTTACACCAGAGAAGTGCTTGACCTTCCAGCAGTAGACTTTTTCAGAGTCAGTTGGAAAGACTATAATTAGTAAAACTGTTGTCTGTGAACAAGAATATTTTCTTTTAACATCTAGTTAATGTTTTTTTTGTTGTTTTTTTTGTTTTTTTTCGAGACAGGGTTTCTCCGTGTAGCTCTGGCTGTCCTGGAACTCACTCTGTAGACCAGGTTGGCCTCAAACTCAGAGATCCACCTGCCTCTGCCTCCCAAGTGCTGGGATTAAAGGCGTGCACCACCATCGCCCGGCTCTTCTTTCCATTCTTAAATAGGTGATGGTTGAACTGAAATGTTTGCTCTCTACTCTGAATTACTATCTACTTGGTAGATGGTAAAGGAAATAAACATTTTTTATATTATGACAGGTGATTCTGAGGGCAGGTGAATTTACCAGAATTAATGAGAAAACAGTTGTATTAAAAGTATATCATCAGATAGGGGCTGGAGAGCTGGCTCAACAGTTAAAAGCACTCACTGACTACTCTTTCAGAGGTTCTGAGTTCAATTCCGAATAACTACATAGTGGCTCACAACCATCTGTAATTCAGTCTAATGCCCTCTTCTGGGATGTCTGAAGACAGTGTATTCATATAAATAAACTAAGTAAATCTTTAGAAAAAATATTATGTCATCAGGAACTGAGAGATGGTTCAGCTGTGAAGAGCAACAGCTGCTCTTCTAGAGCCTACCTTCATTTCCCCACACCCATCCACAGCTGTTGGTGACTCCAGTTTCAGGGGACCCAGCCCCTTCTGGCCTCCACATACACTTGGCACACGACATACACATGGATATCAGTGGTATAGTTTGAGGAGATGGCTCAGTCAGTAAAGTTGTCTTCCTTGTAAACTAAGGATGCGCTTGTAATCTCAGTGCTAGGGAGGCAGAGACAGACCGTGTAGTCCAGCCTAATTAATCAGCTCCAGGCCAGTGAGACCTTGCTCAAAAGAAGGTGGGTGGCATTCCTAAGAAGATCACTGGTACTTATCTGCTGGTCTCCATATGTGATATACAGAGCCAGCCACACAGTCACAAACATGCACACACACCCTTTTAGATTTTGGTGGTTTGGTTTGGTTTGGTTTGGTTTTTGAGACAGGATCTATAGTTCTAGCTTGTCCTGAAACAGTGCAGATATGGGTGTAGGCCAGAGTGGCCTCAAACTCAGAGATTGACCTGCCTCTTCAACTACCGCTTCTAGCTACACTATTTCCTTTTAAAGGTAGTAGTGGTCCACTTTTCCACTGGCTCCTTCCTAACTTGGCAGTATTTTATAATTCCTAAGCCTGGCAGTTTTAATTAGAGCTAATCACTGCCGAAACAGTCTTGGCTGAATGCTGAACCTGGTTTTTTTTTTTTTCATCCAAAAGGACGTTGACCTTTTTGCTACAAGGTTGGCTACTTTGCTCTTGGAGTTACTGTACATTAATAGCATTAATTAATAGACAGGTGGTGGTTAGTTGCAGCTGCTGCCTCTTCCTGGAAGGTTACAGTTAGCCTCAGACGCCAGTTCCAGGGTTTGTGACCCGCTGTGCTGTGCTGTGCTGTGCTGTGCTGTGCTGTGCTGTGCTGTGTGGTGATGTGGGTGTGATAGCCTCACCTCAGTGAGCCTCAGTGAACACTTTGGTTTCCACTTTTGCCTGTTTCCTTCAGTGAGTGGCTATTGTGTTCCCTCATTATCTAGCATTATTCTAGTCAGATCTGTGGTTGAAGAAATGAAGATACTATTTTTCACCAGAAAGAACTGGACACTCAAAAGTGTTCCCTTTTCTGATAGAGAAACTGACTTCTTTGTAGTCATAAATAACTTTTGTCTCCCTGTCTTTCTTTTCCCTGAGTTCCTGATTAAAGTTTAATGTTACTTCAAGCTTTCAAGTCCCCAGAGACCGGCTGCTTTAGATGTCAGCTGGTGAGCCACAGTCCTCACTGGCCTCTCTGCTGTATAAGTATGTGTTCCTCAGTTCAGCCTTCCATCTTAGCCAGTGCCCAAAACAGTTCCAAATGGAGTCTCCGTTTCCTCTGGCTCTAATGCACACTTGCTCTCTTAGATGCTGGAGAATCAGATGGAAGTGCGGAAGAAGGAGATCGAGGAACTGCAGAGCCAAGCTCAGGCACTGAGTCAGGAGGGGAAGAGCACAGATGAGGTGGACAGCAAACGCATCACTGTGCAGACCAAGTTCATGGAGCTTCTGGAGCCCTTGAATGAGAGGAAGCACAATCTGTTAGCTTCCAAGGAGATCCACCAGTTCAACAGGGATGTAGAGGATGAGATTGTGAGTAGCCCTTGGAGTGTCCTGAAGTGGACGGTTGCGTTTCTGTTGTGTTACCTCGGACCCTGTCATTGACATGAGTCCTCACAGCCTGCCTTTCATGTTGTGAAACTCTCTGTCCCCTCACACACACACATGCAAATGCATTCTCTTCTTTCTGGAGTTCTAAAGACACTCCAGGATTTTAATGCCACTAGAATCGGACTTAAACTAACCACAGGGCTCACAGAGTGTTCAACACCAAGGATGGAGTAAGTCTGAAGACTAACCCCTGCCTCGTGTCCAAAAGTATATCCTGGTCCCTCTGAAGGATGGCTAGACCTTCCTGCCCAGACTCCCTTTGTCTCCCTTGTGCTCTTACTTGACCTTATCTTTGTTCTTCACATGGTCCTGACCACTTCTTATTCTCTATTTTTCTAGCTGTGGGTTGGTGAGAGGATGCCTTTGGCAACTTCCACAGATCATGGCCATAACCTTCAAACTGTGCAGCTGTTAATAAAGAAAAACCAGGTAAGCGTTTCTGCCAAGGCTAGCTGTGCCTGGTGACCAACCATCATAATGCATACGAAGTGAGAGGTTTTCCAAGGTTTGTGAGTTCTGCTTAGTACCAACATTTCAAAATAAGGACCAGGCCATGGCTCTTTAGCAAATTGTTTTTGCCTTTTCTGCACAGACCCTCCAGAAAGAAATTCAGGGACACCAGCCTCGTATTGATGACATCTTTGAGAGGAGTCAGAACATCATCACAGATAGCAGCAGCCTCAATGCTGAGGCTATCAGGCAGAGGCTCGCTGACTTGAAGCAGCTATGGGGCCTGCTCATCGAGGAAACTGAGAAACGCCATCGACGGCTCGAGGAGGCACACAAGGCCCAGCAGTACTACTTTGATGCAGCTGAAGCAGAGGCGTGGATGAGTGAACAGGAACTGTACATGATGTCTGAGGAAAAGGCTAAGGTGAGACATGCTTCCCAACTCCCAGGAGAGGAAGCAGCAGGAGATGTGCCTCAGAAGAGTGCCCTACTCCAATCCTAGCTACATAGTGTCTTTATTCCACCTGCTGCCTGTAGGTGCTGAAAAGTAAAGAAAGACATCAACAGTCTGGCTGCTGTCTCCCTTGAAATAAAGCCTACGTATGTAACACACATGCAGGCCTGGAACTTAATATATGGCCCAGACTGGCATCCAACTCATGATTCTCTTGCCTTAGGCTGCCTACTAGGATTACAAGTAGATTGTACTGTCTAGCTAAGAAAGAGAGACAGACAGACAGACAGACAGACAGACAGACAGAGAAAGAGAGAGAGAGAGAGAGAGAGAGAGAGAAGGAGAGAAGGAGAGAAGGAAAGAGAAAGACGTTATATATGTTTGTATATAAATTTTATATAAATATATATCTTTAAATATTTACATACATAAAGTGTATGTGTGTATGTACACACACACACACTTTTTGCTTGTTTGAGGTGGCTTCACTAATGTAGCCCTGGCTGGGCTGGCCTTGGCCTCCCAATTACTAGGATTACAGGCATGTCCTACCATGCCTTCTAGAATCATTCATAAAATTGCACAGGCTCTCCAACATACAAAATGGTTTGAAGACCATTAAAGGTACTTTAAGGCTATGTTGTGGTACAGATACATAACAAACTGAGGTTCTTAGCTGGGTTGATAGACTCACCAAGCTCCCCTCCACCTTACAGCGGCCTTGGTCATAGTACATGCTCCCCTTTGCAGAGGCCTCTGTTAGTCCCTGCTAATGCACTCGGCTGTGTCTGTGTTCGTGGTTATATCATACTTGTGTTGTTTTGGTTTGTTTCTTTCCGATGTCCTTCCTCTTGTCCCACCCCACAGTGTAGTTAATTTATCAGCCCAGGCATAGTATCTGGCTGTGGTTTTGATGGTCTCTTTGTTTGCAGGATGAGCAGAGTGCTGTCTCCATGTTGAAAAAGCACCAGATTTTGGAACAAGCTGTTGAGGACTATGCAGAGACAGTACACCAGCTCTCCAAGACTAGCCGGGCGCTGGTGGCTGATAGCCATCCCGAAAGGTAAGTGATACTTTGAGCACAAGGCCACCCAGGCTCCCTCAGTGAGGTGACACCACTCATCATACAGTAGTAGAGCAGGTCACTGACCTGAGAGCTTAGGTAGCTGGGAAAGTAAGGTCATTACTCGGAAGTTGCTCTGAGTAACAGTTATTTCATATTAACTATCTCATGTTGGCCAAGACCCAGTTGAAAGATCACAAGTGTCATAAGTCGTAAGCATATTTGGCTAACAGAAGTAATGGAGGCACATACTTGAGTTGAAAAAGTCATCTAGTCCAAGTGTGGTGGCGCACGCCTTTAATCTCAGCACTTGGGAGACAGAGGCAGGTGGATTTCTGAGTTTAAGTCCACCGTGGTTTACATAGCCAGTTATAGGCTAGACACGATTATATAATGAGGCCCTGTCTAAAAAAGACCAAAAAAAGACCAAGAAAAGTAAAAAAACCTGTCAGTTTGGGAAAGTAGTGAATGAAGAGGACTAAGACAAGACTGCCTCAGCTTGTGAAGTAAAATGGGTTTCACAAAACCAAGATTTTAGCACTCCCTAAGTCCTGTGCAGTGATTATCCAGAGAACAAGGAAGGCATGAGAATGTAGGCTCTCTGGTCCCCAGGCTGAGGTAACTGGGAGAGAAGAGCTCCTGTCAGGCTTTCTTGGGGGCCACCTTTTAGGACTTGGGAAGGAAAGGAATTGGTTTGAGTGTTTATCCAATGAAAGACAGGCTGGGAAAGGTAAGGTCAGTGAGTCTGTTGGTACATGAGGAGGTCCTAAAGGTGTTCATAACTAGATTCCCAGAAAGAATTGGCCGCAGCACAGCCTGCTCCCTCTCCTATCAATGAGATGTTATTCTGGTGACAAATTCAAAGATTCAATCTCCTAGCTACACTGAGGAAACAGGAGCAGACAGAGCCAGCTCTGCTAGCAAGGAAGGGCCACAGCCCAGCAAGCAATAGCAGCACAGGCCAGAGAAGAGCCCTAGTGGACAGCCTGTGCCTTCTGGCAATGGAAGATGGTTCCAGTATTTTCCATTAACTTCTAGCAGCGTGGGGGGGTGTGGGGGGGAGAACAATCAGAGTGGCCTTTGCCTTAATAATTTGGTTTCTCTATTCACTCTTTATCATTTGAAATGGAGGCTATTCAGAGTTTTGTTTTTTAGACAAAATAGGTTTTAAACAGAAGCTTCTTTGGGGAAATTTTGGTGTAACGCTTATATTATCCTCACTCTGTTGTGTGTCTTCAGAAGAAGGCATTGAGGTCCCTTCCTCACTGCTGGTTCCTTTTCAGTGAGCGTATTAGCATGCGGCAGTCAAAGGTCGACAAGCTGTATGCCGGCCTGAAGGACCTTGCTGAGGAGAGGAGAGGAAAACTTGATGAGAGGCACAGGCTGTTTCAGCTCAACAGGGAGGTCGATGACCTGGAACAGTGGATCGCTGAGAGGGAGGTGGTCGCAGGCTCCCATGAGTTGGGACAGGACTATGAGCATGTCACGGCAAGTACTTTGGGAAAGTGGGCGACGGTGTGGAAGGCGTCGGCATGCCTAGGCTGTGAGGTCATGGGTGTGGCTTCAGCTTGGTGCTTTTGTTGGGTGACTTTGTCATGGGCTGGCATTCCTCGACACAGGCAGACAACATAGGTGCTGCAGTACAGATCTGTGGTTCTCAGGCCTCGAGTTTCAACTTGAGCCTCCTACTTGGCAGTTTCTTTCCAGCAGCACTCATGTAATGGGGTGTAAAAGCTCTACAGTGGTCTCACTGATTTCTCTGTGTGCATCCCATTTCAGATGTTACAGGAACGGTTCCGAGAATTTGCACGAGACACAGGAAACATTGGGCAGGAGCGTGTGGACGCAGTTAATGGCATGGCAGATGACCTCATCAACTCTGGACATTCGGATGCTGCCACCATTGCTGAGTGGAAAGATGGTCTCAACGAAGCCTGGGCTGACCTCCTAGAGCTCATTGACACGAGAACACAAATTCTTGCTGCCTCGTATGAACTTCATAAGTTTTACCATGATGCCAAGGAGATCTTTGGCCGCATCCAAGACAAACACAAGAAACTCCCTGAGGAGCTTGGAAGAGATCAGAACACCGTGGAGACTTTACAGAGAATGCACACCACCTTTGAGCATGACATCCAAGCTCTGGGCACTCAGGTAGGTGGAGCTGCCCAGGGCAAGGGTGTCTCCTTAGAGAGTATCTATGTACATCTTGAGCCTCTCTCTAGCTATTGGCTCCTCAGAATGTACCTGAAGTGATACTCAAATTAAACACGTGTATACACACATGCACACACATGCACACCCCACCCAGGAAAGCTTTGTAGTCTATGCAGTTCTGAATTTGTCACACTTGCAGATAATGTTAAATGAGCACACTGGTGTTTAATGAAGCAGATGCACAGGTAAGGCCTCAGTACACGTTACTGTTGTGCTAAGTGACCCTCAGGATCACTGTGAGAACAGTACCTCAGTGTCTTCTGCCAGCCATCCCAAAGGGGAAATCTATACGTTTTCATTTAACACTGCAGGTTTATTTTTCTGCATTGATTGCTCTTATTAATTCTTTGTGTTAGCATAGGAAGTGAGAAATCTCATGTCATTTTGATAAATGTCTTTATATTTTTTGCCACCATTCCCCTGTCCGCCACTGCTCATCCCATGTTCCCTCTCGCCACTTCCCTCCCTTTTCTCAGGTGGTCCCAGCTTCTGCCTAGTAGAGATTCAACCCTCACAGTTTGACATACCTGATCTTCTAGTGCCAGCACTCTGTCAAGTGGCTTAGCACTAAAGCAGTTTTGAGGATGTTGAGAGAACAGTGGAACAGTGAGATCCGATAGTGTGTTCCGTCTCTCCTTTTTTTGCCTTTTCATCTCTAGTTTCCTCATTAGTCTTAGTTCTTCCAGTTGAAAAATGGTCCCCTCTTCCCTCCAAATTAGTGTTCCCAATTTGGAGAGGAAGCCAATTTTGGCTAATTTTTTTAATCCTGAGGTGGTCAGGAGTTCTGTTCTTGCTTATTGAGAGCAAATGGTCTGTACTGAGTCAGCGGAAGGCTAGATGGAGTATATTCTTTACTTTGTGGCTGTGTGGTCTCCATTGGATATGAGTGCAGTCTTAGGATAAAGAACCAATGGGAAAATGAGTGGGCAGAGGCTATATTCTAATAAATACTTAGCCCCTCTCCCAAGAAAAAAGGCCTAGACTTGGTCCAGGCGGGCTCAGGTGAGTATCACCTCACTATGCTTCAGTACTCAGGACTTCGGCTGTAGAGGGCCCCTCTTGCCTCCTGGTGTTTTTAACTGCCCTCTAGAGTCTTGATTCTCGCATTCTCTGTGGCCATGAGTTAATTTACCTCTCTGTGCCTGGTTTTCCTGCTGCTTTGAGGATTGAGATGACCCTTGTAAAACGGTTAGATCTGTGAATGTATCCCTCTTACTGTTTTTAACAAATGCCAAAGGGTGCTTTTGAGAAGTCTGGAGACAATTAAGAACTAGGTCCTTCTCCATTTACTTTTAAAACTATAGGATGCTTCAGAGAGAGAGAGAGAGTCATTCCCTGTTTTTTCATTAAATACTTTTGCCTCATGAGACTGTTGAGGCTTAGTACCCACAGCCAAGAAACCAGCCCCTCAAGTCTGTTGGATTCCACCTCCCTCACCATATCACTGTAAAGCAATAAAATGTGTGGCCTTCCTGCAGGCCCTGACCCACCGGTATCCATACAGAGCAGGAGCAGTCTTGGGTGGCCATGGTGGTCCTTCGCTCTTCTTGTGTGAGCGTTCATTGTGCTAGCTGCTCCCATCTTCTCACTGAGAAACCCTATAATTAAGTAGCCAGAGGCACAAGAAATGATAACTTGGAAGACAAGGAAATTGATTTTCATGTAATTTCCTACAATTTGCTCGTGGTAATCTGATTTACATACCTTAAGTGTAATTCAGAATTAGAGACTATTTCCCCAAGAACCACAGAACATGGAAATCAAGTCCCCATGGAAACCAAATCCCATGATTTTTCTGTGTATGTTTTTAGAAACTCCGTGGTCTTGCCACTGCTTAAAGTCCTTTTGTACAATTAAGGGTCAAATAATTCACCTTCTCCCAAATCATAGCATTGGGTGGCCCCATCTCATTGTCCCTGGAAGAGCCTCATCTGGCATTTCTCCAAATAATCTCCCTTACAGTCCTGAAAGGCTTATCCAGGACTGTAGACTTTGGTCACATAGTTTATCAGCAGATGATGTCAGACACGAGTCCTGATGTGTAGCACTGCTGATGGGGAAGTGTCTCATGCACAACACAGTGAACATGGACAAGGATAAGGTAGTGGGTGAAGCGGTGCACACATTTAGTCCTTACACTCGGGAGGCAGAGGCAGATGGACCTCTGAGTTTGAGGCCAGCCTGCTTACATAGTGAGTTCCAGGACAGCCAGGGCTAGATAGTGAGACCCTGTCTCAAAAAAAAAAAGGAGGAAGAAGAGGAAGAAAAGAATATAAAATAGCCACTGGTTTCTCCTATAATGACAAACCTCTATCATTACCTAAAGTGATAGCCTGTTTTTCACTCTTTGACACAGAAAGTAGTGTTCAGCATACTGTCTGTACTTTTAAAACAATATTTGGTATGCTGTTGGGGCATGTATGACTCTGTGGGTCAAATGACAGCTCTGTAGTGGTCTCCTTCTACCATTGTGTGTTCCAGTGTTCACCTGGCATCATCAGGCTTATGTGTCAAGTGCCTTTACCTATCTGTCAGCCCACCCACTCCCACTTATTTTTAAAAGTTAGTCTGTCCTGGAATTCACTGTACAGTTGAGGATGACCTTGAACTCCTGATCCTCCTCCCTCTGCCTTGCAAATTTGGGGACTATAGGTGTGTGCCAGCACACCCAGCCAGTCAAGCTATTTCTTCTCTTGGAATATATCTAGATGTGACCATACTCAGGTCTGTCTGCACATCCCAGGCTACGGGACTTCTCTGTGTTCCTGTAGCATTTTATGTCTTTCATTGTTTGAACAGAACTTAATAATGGAATTCAGTTGGTTTGAGGTTTTGTGACTTGGCTCTTCCCAGTGAAACAAGAGCTGTTAAGAGGCACAGACCCAGCAACCTACAGCTCCTTCCCATTGCTGTTTATGGTGAAACAGTAGGGAAGGAAGGAAGGGGTGATGGTGTCAAGGCCACAGTAGTGAAACCTAGCTCTTCTCCCCTGTGGCTTTGCAGGTGAGGCAGCTGCAGGAGGATGCAGCCCGCCTCCAGGCAGCCTACGCAGGGGACAAGGCTGACGACATCCAGAAGCGTGAGAACGAGGTCCTGGAAGCCTGGAAGTCCCTGCTGGATGCTTGTGAGGGTCGCAGGGTGCGGCTAGTAGACACAGGAGACAAGTTCCGCTTCTTCAGCATGGTTCGTGACCTCATGCTCTGGATGGAAGATGTCATCCGGCAGATCGAGGCCCAGGAGAAACCACGGTAAGGCTCCCTCCCTGCCTCAAAGGTGTGGTGTTGAGAAAAGAGCTCCACTACCTCTGTTTTGCCACACATGCTGCCGTGGAACAAAGAGCCTTGGTAGTGTTCCTTTCCTCTGGGTTCTCACTCCCACACCCCCATGCTGCACACTCACCTGCACCTTCCCAACCAGGCTTTTTGGAGTTATTTTTCTCTCTCTTTGTTGTATTAAAGTCTCTGTTTCCATGTACATCACAGCGGTAATGTTCCCCCTTGACATTTGTGTCCAGCGTCTGGAACTGAAATGGTCGGTGTCTTCCCTTTAGTTTGGTTTCTTTCAAAGCAGTGAAGATGTTAGTATATGAGTAGAGGCGTCAGCTTCCTGAGTGCTTCTCTCCACAGCTGGACGTCAGCTGTTCCATCAGCCTGTCCTGTCAGGCTGGTCTTTGTTGGAACTGCCTTTGTGCCTTCTTGAAGGAGTGTCTGCCTGCATTGCATTTAAGGGTAAAGATATAAACATAAATCCAGTGGTTTTCTTGTATGCACTTGATGAAGCCTTTCTTTGAGCATTACGGAGTTAGCTGGTCCTGAGTTTTAGTGACTCGGCCTGAGTTTGGGCTGCAAATCAGCCCTAAAAAAGACAAATTAGGCTGTCAGTTTCCTTCAAATTATGAGTTTTAAAATCTACATGTTTATTTGAAAAGCTTCGTCTCTCAAAGGAGATGTTACTTTCTTATAGGGATGTGTCATCTGTTGAACTGTTAATGAATAATCATCAAGGTATCAAAGCTGAAATCGATGCTCGCAATGACAGCTTTACAGCTTGCATTGAACTTGGGAAATCCCTGCTGGCAAGGAAACACTATGCTTCTGAGGAGGTAGGATGCTGCTTTGCTTTGGAACCTGACATGAACTCAGCCAGTGTTAGCACGTAAAATGATTTTATTTTGTCTTTGAAGTCTCCCACAGTTCACAGGGATTGGTTCCAGGACCTCTGTGAACACTAGAATCCATGGATGGTTAGATACAGTATGTAAAATGGCATAAGATTTATTCATAACTTTAGAACATCTCTGGACCCCGAGTAATACCTAACACAGGGTAAATCATTGTTGTACTATAGTAAGGAATGACAAAAGCCATGTCCACATGTTCGGTGTAGTTGCAGCTTTTCTAATATTTTCCTTCTTTGTAGTTGTGTGCTTGAGTACAGGGCCTACAATACACGTGCAAGTGAGTGCACTTCTTTGCATCATTTTGAAGCTTATTCTGTCTGCCTAGAATAACTGTTAAATAAAACTGTAGACCCAAACCCAGTAATTGTTTGGCCAGAGATAATTTTTGAGGGTTCCAGGTATAAAACAGCCTGTGAACTCCTCAGTGGGATGGCTCTGGCTGTCACTTAACGCTGTTGCCTTTGGCCTCATTGGTGGATGGCTGCAGCCCTGGTCAGGACGGTGGCACTGATGTCCCTTTTGTAGCATTCTTCACAGGAGTGGACGTCTCTTAGAAAAGCCAAGGCTTTGTCAGTATTACTGTCCTTCTCTTCATAGACGTTACTGTTTCAGGGAGCCCCAGAGTCTAGTGGGGCAGCACGCTGTTTGCTACCTCCTCAGCACAGGCAGCTTTGGATAGAACTCCCACCTCTTCTGAGAAACTAGCTGTGCTCTTCTCTCCACTCTTAAGACAGGAAATAATACATTAAAGCTGATACTTAGCAGCTTAGGGGAAATACATTTTCTTGTACAAAGTGCTCATCCGGGACAGACAAAAGGTTGCGATATTTTAATTAAGGTCCTTGTTTTTGTGCAGATCAAGGAAAAGTTACTGCAGTTGACGGAGAAAAGAAAAGAAATGATTGACAAGTGGGAAGACCGGTGGGAGTGGTTAAGACTGAGTAAGGACATACTTTATTTCTTTTATGTTCTTCCTATGGATCCATGGAAAGTATACAAATTGATATTTCTGCTTTAATCAATGTTGTATTATTACTTAATGATTTCAAATTTTAAGTGTTTCTTTCTCAGTGTATTCACACTGAGTACTGTTTTTAGGAAGTTATTGGGGCTGACTAAAGAGATGGCTCAGCAGTTAGGAGCACTTCCTGCTCTCCCAGAGGACCTGAGTTTGGTTCCCAGCAACCATGTCAGAGGCCACACCCTGTACATCTCCAGCTCCAGAGCATCTTAACATCTCCAGCTTCTGTGTGCACCTAGACTCAGATGAACACACACACAATAGAAGTTGTACAGGGTGTGGTGGCAGATGAATACACACACACACACACACACACACACAATAGAAGTGTGCAGGGTGTGGTGGCAGATGAATACACATACAATAGAAGCGTGCAGGGTGTGGTGGCAGATGAATACACACACACACAATAGAAGCGTGCAGGGTGTGGTGGCAGATGAATACACACACACAAAATAGAAGTGTGCAGGATGTGGTGGCAGATGAATACACACACACACAATAGAAGTGTGCAGGGTGTGGTGGTACACACCTTGAATTACTCTCCCCCCTCCTTTCTTTTCTTTACCTCTCTCTACTTCCTCTATCTCCCTCTCTCTCCCTCCTCCTACCCCTTTCTCCCTTCCTCTCTCCCCTTCCCTCTCTACCTCTCCTTCTCTTTTCCTCCCTCTCCCCTCTTTCCCCACTCATCCCTTTCTCCACCTTCCTCTCTCTTTCTCTTCCTCTCCCTCTCCCTTTCCTCTCTGTGTAACCCCAGTTAACTTAAAACTATGAGCCCTCACTGGATTTAAAATGTACAGTATTAAGAATAGCACCTCATTTAAAAAAAAAAAAAAGAAAGAAAGAAAGAAAATAGCACCTCATGGTTGATTTGAACATTAAAACTAGTTCAATTCAAACTTTTTTTAAAACTCTATTCTAACATACCGTGTTGATGCTTGAGGGTCTTGTCTTGTTTTCTAACCCCATTCCTATATGTTGTAGACTCTTAGTAAAAACTGAAGTTGTGTAGAAAACCCAGTTGAGCCCAGAGCCCTCTGATGTTCTATTTGGGGCCATTCTGTTATTGAGGATTTCATTTGCAGGTGTTGAGAACTCTGGGACAGTTTCATTCTGTGTAGCAAAACCTATGTCATACCTGCTGTGAACTAGATACCAGGCTACAGTCTGGGTGTACAGTGATGATTTGCCTGCTGCCTGCCTTGAAGAATTGACAGTTCCCTAGCTTCTTGTTAATTGATACGATGTGGCGTCCATCATAATGTCAAAATGAGATGGCTAGCCTATTCCTGGCCCAGTGATACAGCTCACAGCAGGTTCTAATCTGACTGACAGGCACTGCTGAATGAGATGCTATGAATGTGCACTGGCAGTCAGCTAAGCCAGGTTCTAATCCACTTCCTCATAACTACATTGGGAGGAGAAATTTCCTCACATGGAGGACAAGACCCTGTCTTCCCCCTTCATTAGTATTCCTCCTCTCTCAATCCCCCAAGAGAAAACTGGATTTCAACCTAACACAAACTGCTGTGTGAATTCCTGCATAGTCTGGCATGTATAGGTTGTGTGTCCTGTAAGGGCTCTGAGATCTGATCTCTTAGAATTAGGGCCATATGACCAGAGTAAATTTTAGGCCTGTTTAGTCCCCCTGAGAGCCACTGTCCACATATGGCTCTTGGAAAATAAAAATCATCTTAAATTTTTGTACTATGTGCTTACTTATAAAATTTAACTTAAATTCATATTTGGTAGACAGAAAAGTGTTGTGTTAAAATTGTATTTTTTTTAATATATTAGGTTAAGTCAAAATCCAATTAAAGCAATTTACCCCTATTCTTACAACATTCTTACCTGTGTGGCTCACTGTGTTTACATTTGATGGCATTTGGTAGCATAGATGATAAGGTGGCGATGCTTAGGGCAGAGCCATCGTGTGGCCCTGTGACGGACACTCACTCTTCCCTGTGCAGTTTTGGAGGTCCATCAGTTCTCAAGGGACGCCAGTGTGGCAGAGGCTTGGCTGCTCGGACAGGAACCGTACCTATCCAGCCGTGAAATTGGACAGAGTGTAGATGAAGTGGAGAAGCTTATTAAGCGCCATGAGGCATTTGAAAAGTCTGCAGCGACCTGGGATGAGAGATTCTCTGCCCTGGAAAGGCTGACAACAGTAAGTGTCCGAGAGATGTCCTGTTTGTGTGAATTCCGGGAATCAAATGGGCATCAGATCATATCTCGATCTTGGACTACTATTAAGTGCTCTCCATTCCAGACAGTCTCTGCCAGCCACAGCTCTACTGTAGGGCTTGAGCACTGGCTCTTCTTCTCCTTCTGGTCGTCTATGCTCATAGAACATGGATGCTTGCCACCGGTGCTTCTGGGGAGTGACTATGTGTCAAAACAGAATTCTTTTACAATATATGTGTTGCTTATGGAATGGATTCATTTCAGGAAGACTATTCTGTGGCTTTAATTTCTTTTCCCTGTTTCTCTGCTACAATACAGATGGCTTCCTTGAATGTTTTTGTGGGTCCATGGTGGGTTTTTATTGAGACTTCATGGAAAGTCTGGTTTAAAACCCCAGCAACTTTTCCCTCTCAACAAAGTTAAGAAGATACAGAGTTAATTTTGAATTCTCTATTCCCAGAGGGAAGTGAACCATCCAAAGGAGTCTTCCAGCTAGGGTAGACAGCCCTCCATTCCCTGCAGTTTTAGATTGTAGCTACAGTGCTCATGGACATAACGCCATTATACTTGGAGTGTTGACCTTCGAGGTTGTCCAGCATGAACCATTATAGAAAAAGTCTCCTGGGTTTCTCAAACTTTCTTCAAAAGCAGCAAAGGCCTTAGCCCTGATAAACAGCAGCTTATTCTCCTGTAGTTGGAGCTACTGGAAGTGCGCAGACAGCAAGAGGAAGAAGAAAGAAAGAGGCGGCCGCCATCTCCAGAGCCAAGCACGAAGGTCTCAGAGGAGGCCGAGTCCCAGCAATGGTGAGGCACTGGAAGCACAGGAGGCTACAGTCTGTTCTGAGTCTTGTAGAGCCAGGACCAGATCTTTCCTGCTCATTATCTCATCTGTACCTTTGAGAATCACACAGCCATACCAAGTGACAGTTGAGAACAGTCGCACAACGGAGTGAAATGTGGAGGAGGGGGAGCACCAGGACACACAGACACACTTCTCTGGGTGACTCACTGGATAGAGGCACCACTCAGATTTCAAGCCAGTGATTCTGTGATAGGGGAGAACTGATTTCCTATTTGCTGTTGGTAGGCTGTAAGCTCCATGAGAATGTCTGAAGTGGATTTACCAGGTGGGGGTGGTGGCAAAGTGTTTCTGAAGGCTTAACTATTTTAGGGACTGTCTAAGACATGTAGGAGTGCCAGGTGTAACAACATGACATTGTGTAGAAGAAGAGTGCTCACACTTGTTTTTTCCTTCTCTCTTCCCTCTTTCTCTTCCCCTTCTGTCCTTCCCTTCCTTTTTCCAATCTCACCCTAACAGGGACACTTCAAAAGGAGACCAAGTTTCCCAGAACGGTTTGCCGGCTGAGCAGGGATCTCCACGGGTTAGTTACCGCTCTCAAACGTACCAAAACTACAAAAACTTTAATAGCAGACGGACAGCCAGTGACCACTCATGGTCTGGACTGTGAAGTTCACTACCGTATGTCAAGAACCACTCTGTCCACATCCTTTGACCTTTTGGCTACCACGTCACCCAGAGTGTTAAATTTTTTACTTAATTCATAGCTTTCCTTGGTTTCACATTTGTTTGCATTTAATTTATGTTTATTTGGACCCTCACTGCCTCAACGCAGCATACTTAATTTTTGTTTATTTATTGTGAGCTTTTTACTTTAAGATTTTACATGAGTAATTGAAATTAAATTATAGCATAATGAAGAAATTAGAATCTAACAGGTACGGCACACACAAGTTACACTAACAGGACACAGTACTCTGCTATAGGTGCTGTGTTACTTACAAGTATTATTAACCTATAGTCGTTTAGTAACTAGGAAGAGCGGTTTGTAAGGAAGAAGCACTTACTACTAAGGTTCGGCCTGCAGTTGTTCTGTAAACATTCCATGGAGAATGCATTCATCAAATGGCCCAAAAGAAGCTGAGTCTTGTTGGGAAGTGCTTAAGCTTTAGGTGCAGGACCCCAAATGTTCTGAGACCCTCGGGTCATTTATTACTTTGTATAAGCCCAATAATCCTCTCTTTTCTGCCAAGTCCTCAACCCAGAAATGTAGGCTTCTGTGCAACACATGGTACAGCCCACTGATTGCTGCCACCAGTTCTGTGTTGGTCAATGTTACCACTGCCAGCGTTCAGGACGTACCAGATGCCAGCAGCTCTTGGCATGTTTTAGGAGCCTGCCTACCAGACATCAGTCAGAGACTTCAGGCTATCAAACTGTTTTAATTTTTTAGGCAAATGGAACAAAAGCCATTTTGGTTCATCCTGATTACTTGAATGGTACACTCAATGCCCCGTGCCTGGGAGCACTTGCAGAGGTGTCCTGGCCCTAGAGGGCTACTTCAGTGTCTCTATTGACGGAAACTCTTGTATCTCAAATGAATCTCGTCCTTGGGATGGCATGTATTGGCCACTAGTAGGGATTGAAAACATTTTAACAGAGATCCTTTTTCTTAGGAGTACAAGCTGGTAAAGGGGTGATTTCCTGGTTCTGATCAGAACCAAACCAAACCCTCATTGCAGCAAAGCCTTTAAGACACTCCCTTGCTCGTTTGCCATATTTAGATGTCTTAGTGGAGTCAGAGCCCTGTTTGGTATGTGTTTTCCATGAGCTAAGTCTAATTTGTCTTTTCATTTCATGATGCATTTTTTTTTCTTTTGTCAGGATAACATCATATAGCATCTTGTTTGTTCTTCCTAATCTCTATGTACATATCTATCTACCTGTAACCGTAGATAGGTATCTAGATAGATACCAAGCTTCTTATACTCCGGGCTAGTATGCATCATTATTGGGTCTCTGCCTTAAAATACATCCAAATTTATATTAGGAAAAAAAAAAAAAAACTATAGCTTTTTCTTTTGGTCACTAGGGTTCCCTGAACATGTCTTTATGGCCACAAATCATACTGTGTCACTGATCATATATATATAATATAGTATACATGATCATACTTACTTATATATGATGTTTCCATATATGTGCTGTGTGTTTATGTTTTGTGTCATCCAGACTGATACCAAATTTTAATGCTTTTTTATATCAAAAGACAAAACGCACATAAGCACACAAGACAGGAGTGCTATGATACTGCTTAGCATTTGCTCTGCTGCCTATTTTTGTCTCTGTTTTTAATTAACAATTGGATTGTATTGGAAGAAGAAAAAGCAGTGTATTCTTTTGGATGATGATGCAGAGACTCATGTTAATGAACTCGAAAATGGTGTTGCTTCATGTCCTTTGAAAACAAATCAGGTGTTTCCTGTGCTACTGCTTGTCATGTTGCGTTCATGTTCACATCCTGATTTCAGTGCCTCAGATGTGCCTGGCCACAGAAGCACTCTGAACTAATTGCTAAAGAGAAGCAACAAGATGTGCGTGGGGTGGGGTGGGGGCTGATCACATACGTGTACCACTGTTGGATCATAGCACTGTGATTCGCTTTTGACGTCTGTCCTAGTGATGTGTGGTGTCTGCTCGCATGCTTGCAGCACATGTCCATTAAAGGTCATTTTGTTTCTTTATTTGTTGGCATGCTTACAGCACATGTCCATTAAAGTTCATTTTGTCCTTTTATTTTCATTGTTTTCTTGGTTAGTGATTTCATTTGCATAAACATTAATTATCTCTGCATACTGGTGTGGGGTTTTCTCTTTCCTTCTAACTCCAAAGAAAAAATTTTTGCTGCAGAATTTCCATCCGAAGAGACTTCCCTTGTCTTCAGCTACCTTGAAGTGTGACCAGCTCTGATAAATTATAGCCATTTCTAGATAAACTTCTGCCCACCCAGCCACTAGTGGTTTCCACATCAAAGCTGCAGCACTAAATTTTTTTTTACCCTGGTGTCTGTACGTACTAACCCATTTTCCTCTCCACTCACACCGGCTCAGGCCTCCACACCGGCTCACACGTGCTCCTTACATGCGTTTCCTGAGATCCCACTAGAAGAGATTTGTCAACTGTAAGATCCCTCAACATTGTTTTGACTTGGGCTTTGATTATTTCCCCTCATCCAGCTTGCCCTTAACAGTGAAAGGAGAATCCAGGGGTAGTAGGATAGACTTTCGATCCCCACCACTGGGAACACTCTGGCAGGAGGATTAGGAGTTAGAGCCCATCCTGGGCAGCACAGCAAGACAAAGCAAAGAAGAAGAGAGGAGAGAGAAAGTGTAGCAGCCTGTTGCTCAGACCACACCCGCAGGCTCTGCTTTCGCAGCCAGGCCAGCTAAGCACCCTGTCCCCCACCCCGTGTCTTTCTCCCCTGATAATCCATTTACCATATTGGTATGAGAATAGAGAATTTTAATCAAAAACAACCTTAAGATTGCATAGTCTCCAGTCACACCCTAAACCTTGATGCTGATTATACTAGTTTGCATATAATTTCATACCCTTCTACTGAGTTTTCGTTACCATTTTTCCAGATTATTAGCTTTGTTTAAAATAAGCAGGGTCCATCAGTCTAGATAAGACCTAAACAAGAGAGTTGACAGATCCGAGTGTTGAAGTGGGTGGTGGTCAGTCTGCCGCTTATATCGCCAAGGTTGCTGCTAACTGGGTGTCACTCTGACTCTGGGCAGCAGTGGTGGGGGACTGTAGCTAATGACTGTGCCATTGATACTTCCATGTTTGTCTGTGTATGAGGGGTGCAGGTTGTCTGTAATCTACTAAAGCATCAGCCACACCCAGCTTTAGTAACTTGCTAATCCATGCCCTGGGTGTATCAGCCAGGGGCTGCTACAGTTAATGGTACACAGTTGATGGTACACAGGCCGAAAACGATAATGAATCAAGACCCTACTACATTTCCAAAGCCGAAAACCCGTGTGGGTTACAATTTAAGTGAGCTTGGGAAGGAACGCTCCTGAAGACGTCTCCAGACTGAAGGGTCAAAGCCGCTGGAAGCCTGGCTGTCTCTGGGTTCCCGTCTCAGTGCAGCAAGGCGTCTCAGTGCAGCAAGGCACCGTGATCAACCACCCGTGATGGGGAAGGCCCTGGTTCAGTCTTTGTTTGGGGGTAAATAGCTGTGTGGTGTTGAGTGACTGTGATTGGCTTTTTCAGCTCCTTTAACACAAACTACAACCCACTCACAATCAACTTGGGCAGATGTGGTTCAGTTGGTGTTTGTGGACTTGCCTCATTTCCTTCCAGCTCTTAAGTTCCAAAGTCTAACGGGGATGATAGATGTGAAATGCATGACTGTTGTCCTAATTTCTGCATGTGTTTCTGGTGATCTGGAGAGGAGGGTGTGGGAGAAGAAGCAGGGAGCCTCTTTCAGAAACCAAAGGTGTTTACTTGTTGCATCTGGGGGAATGCTGTGTAGCTCTGATAGGATTGTCTCCATCTGTTGTGAATGCCCTTTTGCTTCAACTCCAGCCCTTCTGGTGATGCCCTTGGATGTAAGGTGGCTGCTGTATAACGTCCACTCTCATACTTAATATGTGTGATTGTTCCCATTGTCTTTGTGTTTTAAAGTAACCATAAGAGGAGATGGTCTGAGCTATGTTAGCGAGAATGGAGTAATCAGAGGAGCAGAGTGCAGTAAAACTCATACTGGCATTTCGCTTTTCTCATTTCCCCGCAAGCGGGCGGGCATTAATCCATTCCCACCTTCTAATGTCCTTGGTGTCCAGCTGGCTTTGCGGGGTGTGCACTGGTTTTACTGCACTGCCTCCATCTGTGCCAGGCATTTATACACAGCCACGTGTGCGAGTCAGTGCGGATGTGGTCCTCCCTTGCTCTCGGGGTTCTCTGAATGGCCTCTCCGCTGTCCCTAGATGGCAGGAACCACAGAAACAAGTGAAATGGTCAACGGTGCTGCTGAGCAGAGGACGAGCTCCAAAGAGTCGAGTCCCGTTCCCTCTCCCACCTCGGACCGCAAGGCCAAATCTGCACTTCCGGCCCAGAGTGCTGCCACCCTGCCAGCCAGGACCCTGGAGACGCCCGCGGCCCAGATGGAAGGCTTCCTCAATCGGAAGCATGAGTGGGAGGCCCACAATAAGAAAGCCTCGAGCAGGTAAAGACAGCACATGGGAAAGTGGGGAGGGAAGTCACCCGTGTGGAGGTGGCCCAGTACTATGCAGGATTGGTATTCAGAAGGTCAGAGCTTGTCATCCTTGTGTGACCAATGTGTTGAGAAGTGGAGTGACAGTAGAGTGCTCGATGGGCGGGAATCTCAGGAACGGTCCTGAGAAGGAGTTCACTGTAGCAAAGTTGAACAGTCTTGTGAAGCAGAGCGGCTTCATTGTAGGGATCTAGCATTCACAGATAACGCGTTTTTCTGTAGGAGTCTTCAGATGACCGTCTCCCACCAGGGTCTACATTTACTATTTAGCCAGTGAGAAAATAGGATCTCTGAGAAGTTGTAGGAAGCATACTTTTATAGACATCCAGTAAATGGTAAAACTGAGGTGAAAATCACATATAATTCCAAAGCTTGTGCGCTCAGCTAGTCTGCCAGATGTCTAGATTACTGTACACGTGGAGTGTCCACTGTACAAAGGCTTGTGTCTGTGTTGAGTAAGGTTCCAGTCTGAGGTTCTCATGAAGGTATCGTATTCTAACATTTTGTCCCTTGTATACTGTTGGCACATACCTGAGTCTAGCTCCCCAAAGGGATCCCTTAATACTAAGGACCCTTTTGTCGGTAGCTGGACCACAGAAAGTATGTCGTCACTAAGGCTTGGGGAGATTGTGCTTGAGAATCAGGATCCTTGTCTGTGTTCCTGAACATCAGTGAAAAGCTTTGGGGGCAACATGTGACAGAAGGGACGGCAACTCGCATGTTCTCTGATACAGAGCTGCATCCTCAGCCGAGTGCACTGTTCCAAAGAGATTGGGACGAGGGCTGGTATTCGTATAGATTCAGTTTAGAGAAGCTTTGGATAAGGGGTAGTCCGTGTGTGAAGATGGTTTTCATAGAGATTCTTTCGGCATGGGTGAGCACAGAGCCTTGATACTTCTTTCTCTGCTGTACCCGCTCAGGTCCTGGCACAATGTTTATTGTGTCATAAATAACCAAGAAATGGGCTTCTATAAAGATGCCAAGAGTGCTGCCTCTGGCATCCCCTACCACAGTGAGGTCCCTGTGAGTTTGAAAGAGGCCATCTGTGAAGTGGCCCTTGATTACAAGAAGAAGAAGCACGTGTTCAAGCTAAGGTGAGTTTTCAAGCTCCTGGCTGTCTGGGGGTGTCATCTCACTGAGGCTGGCTTCCCCACAAAGTGAGTATCCAGTCCACACGCAGTGCACTGAGACTTGCTGGGTTGATTGTGTGGAACCAAGGCTGTTCTTCCCTGGGCCTGGTTGTATATCTGGACCCAGAGGAAGAGGAGCCTTCATTTCCTGACCTGTAACACACTGTTCCTGACACTGCTGTGGGCTGGTAACATCGAAGTATATAAAGGGAGCTTTAAAACCCCTGTCTTGAGCTGTCCTGGCTTATGCAGATTAAGGAATTACCATTCTTGCTCCAGATAGGTACTGTGAGTCATCCTAGAGCCTGAGGAGGCACACAGGAAGCACTTGGGTGGGGCAGGCCATCCTCCCCAGCTCTTCCCACACTTCCGCATCCAAATGACGCCTCCTTGTGGAAGACACCCCCTCACACCACATCCACACCCATGTTCCTTGGGTTTAGATAATGGGCAAACCATGTCATTTCTCAAAGTACAAAAAGATGATAACGCAAGGTGGGTGAGAGAGGTTGCTCAGCGGTAAAGGTGCTTGTTGCCAAGCCTGATTACACAGCCTCCCTCCTCAGAACCCACATGGTGGAAAGCGAGAGGAAGGGAAGGGAGGAGAGGTCCTCTTGTGCGTTGTCTTTTTGACCTTCATGAATGTGCAGACATACATATCTTCAAAATACCTTGGTAAGTGCAAGAAGTAAAGCCTCTTGACGGCTGGTCATTTAGTGTGCTGCTGATTGGTTCTGTCGCTTTGAATCTGATGAGGTTCATCTTAGTTGGGCAAAGGATCGAGCACGGGATTATGGTTGGCGCTGACATGCTCTCTTGAGGAGTCTAGTGGGCCTTTGGGTCAGAGACAGACATTTTGAGTCCCAGATAGCCTGACCTCTTTGCTGTTCCATCTTAGCACCCCTCCATGGACCGCAGAGTCAGTTCCTACTCAAGCTTTCTCTTGAATTCATTTCTGGTCAACAATTAAGAATCCAAGTGGTATTGGCCATAACAAAGCCAAACCTTCCGGAGGTTGGACTTTTTTGATCTTTCTGTTGGATTAAAGCACCAAATTCCCTGTTCATATTGGATTTATCTGGTGAATGTGTGACTTCTTAATGACCAGGAACCATTGTCGGGCCACTGCACATCTCCAGGCCTGGCCAGTAACCCATGTAGCATCTCTGAGGTAAAGCCCTTGGCCTGCTTGTAACCCACCCTAGATAAGGGTATTACAGGGTTTTGTTTGTTTTGATTTTTTGTTTGTTTGTTTGATTGGTTTGGGTTTTTTTTTTTTTTTGGTTTTTTTTTTCTGTTTTTTTTTTTGTTTGTTTTTGGTTGGTTGTTTGGTTGTTTGGTTTTTTTGTTTTTTTTGAGACGAAGTTCCCCGGTTGTCTTGGAAATTGATCTATAGACCAGGCTGGCCTCAAACTCCCAGAGATCACCTACCTCTCCCT